AAAATTTTAGTTTTTAAATATAAGTTAAGAATCTAATTTTTTTAAAAAAAATTAAAACTAATATGCATTATATCTTTTAATATAATTAATTTTTTAATCTAAATATAAATATTTAATATAGTAGATTTTTAAATTTTAAATTAAGTTTTTAATTTTTTATGAAAAATTTTAGTTTTTAAATGTAAGTTAAGAATCTAATTTTTTTAAAAAAAATTAAAACTAATATGCATTAATTCTATACCTATACTTTAATATTTGTCCTAAAAGCACAAAATAAACAACCTCCACTAAAAATACCAAAACACAAAACAAAAACTATTATAGGGATAATTTTTAACATGAGGGGTCATTTTCCCTCCAATAAGAACAGTCTTTTTTTGTTAGCCAGACTGTATTCATTATTATTATTATTATTTCCATCCAGACTGCACTAATTGTGGAAGGGGACAATTGCCAAACCAAATAGCAATCACATATTTTGTGCAGTGAAGTCCTGACAGGAGTATTTTGGCAAAACTGTCTTCTCTAGAGGAGATCTTAATTTTTAAAATTAATAGTTAGATTAATACTATGCTTGGATAAAAATTAGTAAAAGGAAGTGAAGAAAAGGGAGAGGAAGTAAAGAGAAAGAAAGGTAAGGAGAGTAAAGAATTAGTATTAATTGTTTGGATAGATTAAAAATGAGGAAGGAAAGGGACAGAAAGATTATGTATTTTGATTTAATTAAATAAATTAAAAAAATAATTATAAAATTAATTAAAATTTTATAAATTTATATATTAAGATTAAAATTAAAATATAAATTTTGATTATATTTTTAATAAAATAAAAAAATAAAATAAAAATAAATCTAATGTTTCCTAATCTTTTTAAATGAAAAGAATTAAAAATAAGAGATTTAAAGAGAGTTTGCTGTCCCTTTATCTTTCTCCTTCCTCTTCTCCCTCCATTAATTATATTATCCAAATAATAAAAAGGGAAGACATCTTCATCACGCTCCTTCCCTGCATCACTCAACTCGCTCAATTCAAACAAAAACTAAATGTTTATCTCATGTAAAGCGTGCAAAAATTTAAATTAATTTAATAATATCTAAAACATTTATTAATTATATAAAAATTAACATATTTAAATATATTTTACTAAATAAAATTAAAGTAGCAAAAAAAGTTACTATCCATGAGGAGTGAATGGATGAATTGGTAAAGAACTCTTTTAATTTAATTAGAAGTTTTAATTTCAAATTTTGAAAATGTAACTTTATTAAAACTCATAAGACAGAGTTTTGTTATTCATTAAATCTTATCCGATTTAAATCCGAATTAATCGATAGTTTAATAGATTTTCGAATACCGAATGGTTAAAAAAAAAAAAAAAAGCCACTTGAGGATCTACTGTAGAAAGAATATATGTTGACGCGGATGGAGAGAATGGCTGTCAGGCACGACAATAAATCAGAGATGGAGTTCCAACTTGAGAATCCACCGACGCAGAAAGTGCATTGTCCCTGTATTTTATTTGGTTTTTTTTTTTAGGTCGAAAAATTGTTTATAAAATAAAAAAAGTTTTTTTTTATTTTAAAATTTAAATATAAAATCTCTTACATAAAAATTTATAATCTTAACTACTAATATTTAAAGGGGATTGTTCTCTAAACAATATTTGACTAGTTACAGTGAATGGCAAAATTTAGAACCAGGAAAAGGAATCCATATGTTACCATCCTGGTATCGAATCCTGATGAAGCACCTGCTGGCATTAGATGCCTTGTTTAAAATGCATCAAACTGCTAGTTAATATCAAAATATTATCCGTTGTAACAGCAGTGAAATTATTCTTTTTTCTTAAATATTCGCCATGTTAAAAAAAAAAAAAAAAATCCAGATGCAATGCAATACAAGTCTGCTAACTGGTTTTACAATTAATAATATATTACTTATACCCTACTTTGACAATTCCACGGCTAGAAGCATGAAGTTACATCTCACTGTATTATAAAAGGGTAGAGAGCAGGGATTTATAACATAAATTTTATAAATTACATTTATATAAAATTTTAATTATTTATTTTTTTAATTTTAGTAGTTGAGATTTATTTATATTTAATAAAAATAATTATTTTTTACTTAAAAAATTATAATAAATCTCGACTATTGAAAATGAAAAAATAAATTATTGAATTTTTGTATAAATATAATATATAAAATTTATATATGTAAATGAATTTCTCATCGTTATAGAAGTTATTAAAATCAACAATAAATTTTGAATAAATATTTAATAGATTTTTAAAATATTTAATAGATTTTTAAAATCTTCAATAAATCCCTTTAAAATACTCATAATATCTTAAATAAATACTTAATAGACCTCTTTTAAGAGAATATGGGTCTATAACAATTATAACTTATTTTGAATAAAAAAAAAAACAATTGTAGTTTACTTCGGCATTATTACCATTATAATATAACAATATTAATTAATTAGTATAATAATAACAATTGTATGGAGCTTACTTCATATTGCCATTATAATATAATTTTACTTTATTTATTTCAATTATATTTTAATCTAAACTCAATCATATTTTTAATAATAATCTTTTTGTATAGATCTTCAATATTATATCTTATATATATAATGCTACTCTATGTATTAATTTGGATATGTATTTAATAGTTGGTTAAAAAAAAAAGAAAGAAAGAGAGAGAGGGCAATGCGTTTTTTTTTTTTTTTTTCCTTCATGTAAAAACCCAATTAAGCTTTAACATACATATAAAACTTTTCATATTTAACAACTATTTCTAAATTATTATTTATCTTTATTATATCTAAATTTTAGTATTAAATCTAAATAAAATATTTGTAGTAGCTAGAGCTTTTAAGCTCTTTCTCGAAGTCTATAAAAACCTACAAAACTAAAATGTCTAAGCCCTAAAAGTAAGTGTCTTAGTTAATGGTACTTTTCAACTCATGAAAGCTCTTACTCTTATTATTCATTTAAATTAAATCAATAAACTAACTTTTGGTTCAAGTATATCTATATATCACTTTTAAGTATAGCTTCATTTGGTTTCAATATATACTTGAGATATTTAGTTAATATTTTTTTTCTTATCACACATTTTAAATTGACTTTTCATCGTATTCTCTAACTTAGAAGATTATAAAGAAGGGAGAGGCAACAAAATTAAAAAAACACAAAGGCAAAATACCCAAATCCACCCCTAAAGTATAGTGGCAGGGACGGATCACCCTTGAACAAAAAAACGGGGACAAATCCACCCACAAAGTTTTCGACTTGGACAAATCACTCCAAATTTAATGTGTGACGTCATTTGACATCAGCAATTCGTTAATTCGTTAACGGATTGCTGACGTCAGATGATATTAAATTAACAGATTGCTGATGTCAAATGATGTCACACGTTAAATTTGGGGTGATTTGTCCAAGTCGAAAACTTTGTGGGTGGATTTGTCACCGTTTTTTGTTTGAGGGTGGATCCGTCCCTGCCACTATACTTTGGGGGTGGATTTGGGTATTCTGCCAAACACAAATATCATGCTATGCCATTGCAAAAACTTAGGGGCAAGACGTGGAGCAAAACTTTGAACCTAGAAAGGCAAGAAAATATGACAATTCATATACAACTCAAAATAAATGCAAAGTACCAAAAAAAAAAAAAAAGTTTCTATGTTTATTTTTAAAAGCAATCCATATTTTGTTTTAGGTGTATATATATATATACATGTATAGTTGAGATCTACTTATATATAAGTTTCACATACCATTTTTATATAAAATATCAACTAGTCATCTCTTTACTTTCAATTATTGAGATTTATCATAACTTTTTATGTAAAAAAGATAATTTTTTTAATAAATGTAAATAAATCTTAATCATCAAAAGTAAAGATATGAATGGTTGAAATATTTTATAAATATAATGTATAAGACTTGTGTATAAATGAATCTTTACTCATATATATTGTTTGTGTGTTAAAATTCTTAATTTATAATCTTTTTTTAAATTTTTTTTATAAAAGTAGTGGTCACTAATGTAGTTTTTTTTTTAAAAAATATTAAGAGAATAAATATATATCAATCTATCTATTTATACATATATCTATCTTTATCTATCTATCTATATGTTATATAAAATGATATTATATGCATTAATTAGGATATTTTATTGGATTTTCTTATTCTATACTGTAATCCCTTTGATAGTAATATATCCTATATGAGACAACCTAGTAGTTAAATGTTTGAATTTCTATGTTAAAAATGTCAAGTTCGAATTTTATGATGAGTGGAGAGGGGTTTGGGCATGAAAGGATTATTCCTCATTATGCAGTTCATCATTTGAAGTAAAAAATAAAAGTAAAAACTTTGATAGTAATATTGTAGGCAACAATTATTATATTATTGCAATATTAATTTTAAAAATAACA